CGCACTCCGGGCGGTCCCCGCGTTAGAAGCGCTCTACAGTGTCACCTTGGCTCTGTGCACCAGTTCTGGATCATGCTCAGTGCCGGACGAGGCTTTCCCTTGGCTTACGCGACGGGATGGGAGAAAGAAGATTCCGGATTGTGCAGACCACCCGATTGTTCAGAACAGTACCGAAAAGTTGACGAAGGGTCGAAGAGGCGCGGTGACGAAATTCAGTGGGGTGAGTGGTCCATTCGTGTCTTGTGAGCTCTAACGAGCGATTTCATGTCCGTAGACATCGTCCGGAAACGATCGAACAATTGTTCCTACAACTACAGAGTACATCACTGCCAGCGGGAAACAAGTTCTAACGCTACTACACGCTGCATCCAATGTTATATCCGTCCCGTTGCTACAAGAAACGATCGGAGTTGCGCTGAAAATTATTGAACTCTGCGAGGTTCGTCTTTTCTGGTCCCACATCTGCAGGGAATCGACGAAGGGCTTTGAACAACACTTTTAGGACGCATCGGCTGTTGAAGAGACAGTCAAGGAGCTGAAATGTAGAGTCAGCCATCTCACCATTATCATCGTGGACCACATAACGTCCCAAAACGACGGCGAAGGGAGCACGAAGGCAATTGTGAATGCCGTGAAGGGTATGGAAGGGGACATCGAAGAATTACTGAGGTTTGCTTTCTTTGGATTTGGTTTGAGATGGTCTCATGATCTTGTAGCACTGTCAAGACAATTTACGAGGACCTAAAGACGATCGGTGGGCAGAAAGCATTGCTAACAACAATATACAAAGACGTGAACATGAAAAAGCTTGAAGATTGTCTGAATAGGCTGTCGACTGCCATGGAGAGATTCAAGGTATTTGACGTCTCTTCAACATGTTTCCTCTCACAACGCCTTTGCTCAACCACCGAACTTTCTCATGATCTAGCTTGCGAATGATCTCCGAGATTCCTACCACCTACAAAAGCTTCAATGTCGCCTAGAAGGGATGCACGATCTTATGCAACACTTAACCACCAGACTAGTCGAAGTTGCATGGAGGCTCGATCAATCAGACACAGTCATTCAACAACAAATGCCTCTTAAGCCGGAGATATTCCACGGGCGCGAAGCCCTTGTTCAAGACATTGTCCAGCTCCTCATCAAAGAGGAATCCTCTCGTGTTTGCATTCTAGGCCCAGGGGGAATGGGAAAAACCTCAGTTTCCCTCGCAGTTGTCGAATCACCGTGCATCAAAGCCCACTTCTTTCCCGAACACCTTTTCTGGGTTCCCTGCATCGAAGCAACATCCGCGACCCTCCTCCTTGAGCTCTTATACACCCAACTCCAAATACCACGAACAAAGCAAATGACGCTGTCAAAGATCATCTCCCAACTCGATGCCTCCACACAACCCCGCCTCATCCTACTTGATAACTTCGAGACGCCATGGAACGCGCCAGGCGGGGCGCAGAAGCTAGTCGGTGACATCCTTCGACAGCTAGCAATGCTGAAGCATGTCTCCATCCTCGTTACCATGCGCGGAAGCCAAGCTCCCTGCGACCAGGCCATCATTTGGCAGTTGAGAGACATCCAACCTCCCGACGAAGAGGCATGCATCCGTATCTTCCATGACATCAACCCAGATTCGGAGAACGACCCAGATGTCAAGGTGTTGCTGGGCACTCTGGGACACATGCCTTTCGCCGTCACCCTCATGGCCAATCTCAGCAAACAAGGGCAATCGACGGCGAGGGAACTTTTGAACGCGTGGTCGAAGTTCGGGCCCGACATCCTCCCTGGCCAGGATGAACAGAGCATGAACCGGAGTATCAGCCTTTCCGTCTATGGGTCCCTCGTCAAGCAAAATCCAAACGCCAACCTCCTTCTCAAAGTTCTCTCATTACTGCCAGCAGGGACGACAAAAGACAACCTCTCCTGGTGGGCGCCTACTCTTGAGGTATCTATGATTCCCTCTGCCATTGTCAGTCTATCAGCCGCAGCACTACTGGTCAAGAAACCCCATCAATCCACCACCTCCCCCGTCCTCTTCGTACTTCCTGTTGTTCAATCGTTCATGCAGCAGCACAATCGAATCGAAGAGGATCTCCGAGCACAGATTTTCTCCTCTTTCTGCCAATACGTCCTAGACAACGCATGCCGTTACGACCCTCGATTCCGTGTCAATGCAAAGGATCTCGCAGCTGAAGACACCAACATCCAATCCGTCCTTTTCAGCCGCTCACCCTCCTCCAATCTTTCTGAAAAGACAACCGAAGCGTTCTTTGCCCTCAGCTGGCATTACTGCGACACGCCGCCGAACCCAGAGATTGCCAGCCGTACTGTAGAAGCAGCTAAAGTCTTCGGGGTAGAGAAATACATCGCATCAGCGGTATGGTGCCTAGGCAGGACGTACTACAACCTCGACAACAAACACGATCTCGCCTATGCCAACTTACAACAAGCCTATCAGCTTTTCAACGCCCTTCCCCCTGATAATCTCACTCGACGACTTGGTGGCCAGTGCGGCATCGACTTTGTCAACTGTGCCCGGCATGTCGACGAGCAGAGCAAGATTGTTGCTTTGGCTAGAGACGTAGAAGCGAGGAGTTCCACCCTCTCCGACAACCTCGTCCATGCCCGGAGCCTCGTGTTTCTTGGGGTCGTTCTGGACATGGCCGAGCGGTGGTCAGAGGCACTCCACTCCCTAAGCCAAGCCGAGATCCTCTTGACAGTTTTGGAGAACGATGCGAACCTCGCATATGCGTACCAAATTACCGCCCGGGTGTATTATCACCGGCATCAGCTCCAAGACGCGTTGGCGGCTGTTGATGAAGCGTGGAAGTACGCAGAGTTGAGCGATAGCTCGTATATCCAAGCATTCATCTCCCAGGAATACGCCCGGATTCTCTTCAGTGCTGATAGAGACCGGGAAGCGTGGGCTCGCCTTGAGGTGTCGCTGATGATGGCGGCGCAAGTTGGGAATTGGGGTTAGGTTGCAAAGGCGTTGGAGTATATGGGGCATGGGTACCCTTCGTAGAGGGGATTATGGGAATGCGTATGAGGCGTATGAGGCTGCGGCCGTTGAGTATTGTAACTCGGGCGAGGCGTGGGTTGAGGAGAGGTGTAGGGATAATATGGCAAGGATTTAGAGGAAGCGGGAGGAGAATGATGTGGTTGTTGGGTTTCGGAGGCCGCACCTGAGTGTCGAAAAGTCGTTGTTTTATGGCCCTGTTCAAGTGTCTGTAGGTAATGTGCCAGTTGATGGTTCTTAGTTTGACCTTTCACGGAATCATGGCGACTTTTGGATTCCTAATCCGAGTCCTACGTACGACAATGACGCTAAGGAGACAGAGGAAGCCGATTGTGCGACAAGGTGATTTATGTAAACGGCCTCTCGAACAATGTCAGTAGAAAGAAAATAAGCTCATAAAATGCCCCTCGCTCGTCATCATTCTACACTTGCAAGTCACTCCTCCATTCTGTCATTGTCATTATCGGTCTCATCTGAAGCCATGGTGTTCGCTCGGCTTGGAGCCCTCCGTGAATCCACTTCCGCAGGCTGTTGCGTGGGGGTGGAGGTAGGAGCACTAGCAGCAGTGGCAACCGGAGCCTGAGTGTGCGTGCCAGTGGGGAAGTTGTTTGGGTTGTCATAAACTGGAAGAGTATCCTCCCGCGAGGCTGGGCGCCGCGTAGAACCTATAATATAACAAGGAGAACAATTCAATTGGTAAATAGAAACTTTAGAGGGTAGATGTCACTCACGAGCTTGACCTCCGTGTCGCGCCCAGCTTGTGTTGCTCGAGTCAACCTCAACAACATCGTCCGTGTTATGGGACCTGAAGTTCGAGATGCGCTCGCTGGTGTCGTTGACCACGAGGTTCCCAGAGATGTCGTTGAAGTCTCCACCGCTGATAACGATGTCTGTTGCTCCTCGGAAGAAAGGCATGGTAGGGTGAGAGATCAGTTAGAGATAAGAAGGGCTGGGCGCTCCTGACTTCGAAACTTGTATGAGTCACAAAGTAAACAATAAGCCCACGAGCGGGCAATATAACTCTCACCTGTCCATGTTTATATATGTGGTTGCAAGTAAAAGCGCTGAAAGTGCTATGACAACCTGTGTAGTAGTGCTGTAGAGAGCAGCAAGGCTAGTAAAGAGGAAGGCCGTCATACACAAGGCCGACCAAACTGATTGAAAACAGCAATTGTAGATTACAGCAAGCAGTGTACGCGGACCAGTGTCCATTCCACTGAGTCCATTGAGTGGCTGTGGCACTGAGATATCTTGATCATGATTCATCGATATCCATCGCCGGCTTCGGCTTTTCGGGTTGAGCCCAAGTTGAGCCGCCCGAGGGATTCTGCAGGGAAGAGATGAAAGAGGGCGTCAAAGATGACAGATGACTTTAGGCGGTTGACTGTGGCGACTTTGGTGACGGTTTTGCCCCTCGGAAGACGCGTCATCGTTACATTGAACTTTGCGGGACATGGAGTTGAGTTACATCGCTTTCAGAGTACTAAGTAGGGTGGGAAAGTGTGATTAATCCTCTGGACAAGTTATGTTGGAATTATGTCGGATTGGCGAACAACGTGGAATGGGTAGAGGGAATGGTATGTATGCGAGTTGTTGGAGGAGAGCAATCCATGATGCATGAGGCCTGGACCTGTGGCGTTGAGGACTAGGCGGAAGAGGCTGGTCGAAGGTAGTGGTTCAAAGGAAGAAGATTCAGAGGCACATGCTCCCCATTGCTGAACCTCGTCTAAAAACGCGCGGCTCTAGCCATGGAACGTGAATTCGACTAGGCTGAATTTCACCGGAACTATGGCTAGTTCAACATAAACCTCAATTACCTTGTCACAGAATGGGCTTCCTCTATCTACGTAGCAATCGAGGGTCAATATTGTACGTAGTATTAGGAATCCAAAAGCTTCCACTGGCATGATTCTATGAACAGGGCTATGAGACGACGATGTTCCGACACTCAAATGCGGCCTCCGGACCCAATACGGTATCGTCGACGAGCAGAGCAAGATTGTCTCTTTGGCGACTCTGGCGAGGGACGTAGATAGAAGAGAGGTGTTGCGCCCTCCCCGATGACCTCGTACGCCCCCGGAGTCTCGTGTTCCTTGGGATCGACCTGGATAGGGCTGAGCAGTGGCCAGATGCACTCCAAGCCGAGACCCTCTTGGAAGTTTTGTAGAACGATGCGAACCTCGCATATGCGCACTGGCAAATCACCGTCCGGGTGCATTATCACCAACGTCAGCCCCAAGACGCGTTGGCGGCTGTTTGATATGGGTGGAAGTATGCTGAGCTGGGCGATGGCCCGTACATCCAAGCAGGAATACGCCCGGATCATCTTGAGTGCTGATAGACCGGGAAGCGTTGGATCGTCTAGACGAGTCGCTGATGACGCTGGGGCAAGTTGGGAATCGAGGTGAGGTTGCCAAGGCTTTGGAGAGTGTGGTTGGGTTCCTTCGTGATTGAGGTTATGGGAAAGTGTATTGGACGCATGAGTAGAGGCGTAGGGATGGTATAGCGAGGATCAAGAGGAAGAAAGACGGTGATGAGGTTATCAGGGCGTTGAAAAGCTGGTAGGCTTGCGTGTAAGTGACCATAGGCGAAAAGCTTGTCTGAGGTCGTAGTACGTCTTGCCTAGGCACCACACCGCTGATGCGATGTATGTCTCTACCCCGCTGCTTCTAGTAAATGGCTGGCGATCTCTGTGATGGGCGGGGCTGAAAAGGACAGATTGGATGTTGGTTGATTTTCAGCGCGAGCCCAATAGCTCTTATAGCAATGGTTCCAGTATAACATTGGATGCAGTGTGTAGCAGCGTTAGAACTTGTTTCCCGCTGGCAGTGATGTACTCGGTAGTCGTAGGAACAAATGCTCGATCGTTTCCGGACGATGTCTACTGTACGGACATGAAATCGTTCGTTAGAGCTCATACTCAGGCACACATGGACGACTCACCCCACTAGATTTCGTCACCGCGCAACGTGTCTCTCAGCTACACCCTCCGGCGAGTTTTCAGAACTCTTCTAAACCTCCTGGTGGTCCGCACAATCAGGAATATTCTTTTTCCAATCCCGTCGCGTGAGCCAAGGGAAACGTCCGGTACTGAGCATGATCCAGAACTGGTGCACAGAGCAAGGTGACACTGTAGAGCGCTTCTAACGCGGGGACCGCCCGGAGTACGGGCAACTGCAACGAAGTGCACATCTGTCAAACTATAAATATTCACTGACTATGACAAGAGCGTATTGGATGAGAAACTCACTCTCTGATTCTGGCAACTTGACCGCTGGTGCAACCAAAATATTTCCATGGTTTGTGCGACAAGGTGATTAATGTCCATGTGGAGCCAGCTCCGGTCAAGTTGACGTTCACAAGGCATCTGCTCGAAACAGTCATCCTCCTAGAGGGCGCGTTTCATATGAGGATTAGCAGCTGAAAGCTAAGTATGGTATGATAGTCAGAAACTGGTAGAGAGAATCATAGACAGACGTACCGTAAACCCTCAGAAAGGGGTTCATGTGGTTTGAAATTCGGAGGATCATGATGACCTTTAGAACTCGCTGTCAACTGTTGTATAGCTTCCCCTTGAAGCGTAGATTGCGGACTGAGTCATATAGGAAGCTGATGTGCGACTCCGAGTCTTATCTCACAAAGAGATGAACGATGGCCGAACAACTCTTCCAGGACAAGGTCTCCGGAACAGTCGCTGCTAATTCCGCCGCTGGGATTACCGATGAGGAAGGGGAAGCGTGAAAGTGAGGCGCTGTTGAGAAAGCAACGAAGTTGAAAGACGTGCGAATGACCCAGGAACGACTTGACGTACCGGATGTTGGGTTAGGTGAGAGTGGATAGAGAGCTTCGATATTTTTGAGACCTCAAACCAAAGATTGGCGTGGAGGAGGTCGAGTAAGCCGCCAGTATGACATCTGTTCGTTCTGGAGACTGGTGCATGTGCTTCTTCTTCTTTTATATCACGGTCATCCTTTCGTCGCCAAACTGTTGTCGCTGCAACCTCTCCCCTCTTCTTCTCAACCAGCTCTTCGTCCTATCATTCAGTCGAAAGATTGACAACGTGGATTGTACCAAGTTTTCGACAGCTGTGCACCGCGCAAATGCTAGGTCGATTAGTGAGTGAGTGATTGGGTGAAGGTAAAGTTGATTCCGTGCGGGCGAATTAGTGGAAGCCTGACGTTGGAGCTTCAACAGGGCTGGAGATGGGTAGCAGTTGTCGATTGGGCAACGTCGGGAAATCGGACTCCAGCCACAGAATCAAAAGCACGGAAACAGAGGGCATTTATCAAACTTTGAAAGAAGCGGGGTTAACCGACGTGTGCGATTGACAAAGGACTTCCAACGTACCAGAATGGAATAGGTCGGGTGAAAACACCACTGCTTGCTGGACCATTATAGGCGGGTATTGACGGGAACGCATTGTTCTTCAGCTCGTCCTCCCCATCCTTCTAGTTCTCTTCCTAAATTCCCGTGCTTCTTCTCAAACCACACCGGGTTCTCTTAGTAACTCGAGCCCTTCTTCTTCTGCGAGAGATGTTTATGAGGTCTCCCAACGAGACCATGGACGGAGTTGTTCATCGCATTCGGGTGGGACTGGAGGGCCGGTGTTCGAGGCTCTCTGCAAAAAGACGAGAGACAGGGCGATGGGGGATCTAGTGGGCGTGCTAGGTGGTCTGGCCAAGCTGATTGGTCGTGCTCCTCGCAAACATGTTGAGCCCAACAGAACCTGAAGGTCTCATTGAATCGACCTGGGCAAGTTATGAGCGGATAGGGAAACAGATGTCGTCACCCCTTGAAGAAAGCGGGGTTAGACGACGTGTGCATGGTTAACACTTTCAACGTACCAGAGTGGGATACCAGCTTCGAGGAAGGCTGCACGAAGGGGAGGAGGGGCCAGGCGAAAAACGTCGCTGATTGTTCGATCATCAAGAGTGTTGATGTTCGTCCATCTCGTCCTCCTCCTTTTATCGATCATCTGGTTTTCCTCGTCAACTCTTCCCCGCTTCTCGGATCCTATACCAGTTTCTCCCAGTCCTTCTGTCCCTGTCGTTTCGTGAGGGAGGAGTATGAGGTCTTCATATGAGACTATGGCAAGCGGGAGTGACTGTGCGCGGTTGGGTTGAGAGCCACTCGAAGGGTTCCGCAGCGAAGAGATGAAAGAGGGGCGTCAAAAGATGATAGAGAGGCGATTGACAGTGGTGACTTCGGTAATGGTTTTGCCCCTCGGAAGACGCGTCATCGTTGCATTGAACTATGCTAAACATGGTGTTAGATTAACCCTCTGGATTACTATGGACATACTTAGGAACGCGCACCTCGGTAACCATTCAGATTGGCGAAGAACGTGGAATGGGTGAAAAGAATGGTATGCGAGGCGTCGGAGGAACGAAGAGCAATCCATGCCTTGACGGCTGGAAAGTTGCGGGCTTCGCCAGTGACGAGGGGGCCAACCCCAGAGAGTCCTGTAAGAATGGATATTCACGGCTTCAATGAGATGATTAGTTCAAGTTGGCGGGGACGGGCTGGCGACAACAGACCTTCACAAAGTCTCGTCTATCTTCCTGAATGACATTTCGAACGTGTGGCGTCTTCAGAGTGATCACACACGCCCATTTTTGAAAATTTGCCTGAACTCCAGGTGCTCAGCGCTCAGTCCTTGCTCGTCTGTTTCAACAAAAAGGTCAAATTGATTACTGACCTCAGAGAACCCGGATACTTACCTCTCTTGCAGAACTCGATCCGGCTCGTCGTTGCTGCGATTTTGGGCTCATGAGCAGTGGTGGTGGTGATGGTTCAAGACAAACGTTGAGCAACACTGATTTGGTCAACGCCAACGTTGCTCCGCAACACAGCTTCGTGTGCCGCAGCTACCGGAGAATGCAGGTCGTCCTGCTCAGCTCCCCCTAGATCGATGTGAGTAAGTATTCGCCTCCCAAATTGAAGTCAGTCCAGGAGATCATGCAGTTTTCAAACCAATAGCGATTTTCAATAGGCGATATCTCTTTCCAGTCCTCGTTGTGCTCGCAAGCCCCTTAGCCTGAGCTTGGTACTGTTCAAAGCTTGCATGGACCCCTTGGACTCAAGTCTCAATCCACATACGTCGAGGCTACCCTCTGCTGTCGCAAAAGCCTCGCTGGCCACTGACGGCATGTCCTGGATGAATTCTGATGTAGGAGAATGGGTCTTTTATGCTCCATATCGTGGGTACGACCATATAATCCTTATTTCTCGCGATTAGATGCTAATATTTTCTCCAGATGTTCTCGTCTTTCCCCGCACCCTACCTGCATAACAAAGCGAGATCAGGTTGATCTCGGGACGCTGTCGATCTATGAAACGATGCAAGCGACGATTCGCTACCTTCTCGGATCGTTTTGTTTCTGGCATCGGACTACATTCAAGACACAGATTTGTGCTGGCAACGGTGTTCGGTCTCGTTTCATGAACCGTCAAAGCCTTCCGAAAAACCAGGATTAAGAGGAAGCGAATGATGTGGTTATTGGGTTTTGGAGGCCCCACCCGAGTGTCGAAAAGTCGTTGTTTTATGGCCCTATTCAAGTGTCCTTTGGTATGGAGAAGCTGATTGGTCGTGCCCCTCGCAAACGGCGTCATCGTTATGTTGCAAAACATGGGGGTCTGATTGAATTGACCCGGGCAAGTAAGTAATGCACGAATACGGAAACATTCTGAATCAGACCTTGAAGAAAAACGCGGTTTGTTGACGTGTGGGGTAAACGCTCTCAACGTACCAGAGCCGGGTGTTGGGATTTAGTAGAAAGGAAAAGGCTTTGAGTGGAAAATGTAGCTGGCTTCTCAGGCGGAGTGTCTTGATGCTTCTTCCCCCCGTCCTCCTCATCTTTCAATCATCCATCATCTGGTTTTCCTCGTTAACTCTTCCCCGCATGTTGAGTGTGATATTTAGTGATAACTAGTTCGTATCGCAAATTCCAACACACATGCTACTATTGGCAGAATACATTGGAAGGATTCAAAAATTACTCGTTGCAGCAGTTAACAACACAAGCCCAGGAACCTCTTTTGCAGCCAATGTCCTCAACGGGCAGAGAATTATAAAGACCACAACCTCCTCCATGAGTGTTCAAACACCCTCCAAAAAGGGTGTCGGGACATTTAAGGCAGCGTGGTTTCCGATCTGCGTCTGGATCACACTGAACGCACTGCAAAATTCGACATCAGGAAGGATACATTAGGCTGTCAACAGAAGACAAACCTTCTGGTCAGCACGCTTATCCAATGAATTACCACCAGCTTGGAGTGACTCCACACGGCCCTGCCAGAGTCGATACAGGGTCAGTCGCCCACCATGATAAAGTGGGTGTGCGTACTCACATTCGGAATAGTTGGAGTAGCATGAACAATGACGGCTACGCTGAGAGCGATGAAAGATAGGAACAAAGTCTTCATGATGAACGCGTGAACTGGATGGATTCTAGTTCGTGAAGTTCGCCATTTGTCCAGAGCTCCTTAAATATGTGTGTATATGTGACTTTTGTGGATTAGTCTGAGTCGAACGTACGTCTTGCTTGGTCCACGTTGAACGTGCTCTCTTCTCTTCGCTTTGATCCCGTGCTTCAATATGATGTCCATAATCACTCTAGTATTCTTCTCGTCTTCATACACTAGTAAATAAAATCTTTAACAGCTCATGCCAACTTCTTTCATTAGACTTACTATGTTGGCTCTCTTTGCCTTGGCGGTAGATTTGTAGCCATCTCTCTCCCTTGGCCTGCTCTTTCGCGAGAACTGGCGATCTGTGCCAATGAAGGATTCCCTACTGCGTAGATCGATCATGAAGTAGATGCTTTCGAACGGCAAGCTCCCACTCATGACATAACTGCTTTTCCCCTCAGTGCTACTCTTCGTCTCCGGAGTCCGTGATCCCCTTCTTGCATTGACAAGCGACTTGAAGCTCCCGACTTCTAGTCCCAACCGTCATGGAACCACAACGCCTTCCTCCTCGGGTCCCTTCCCCAATTCGTGACCCAGACAGCCTAGTGGAGCCTCCAACGCAACCTAGAGCTAATACCACTGGGAAAGATTCAGGAGCCCAGCAGCCGCAGCTCGCTACCACACCACCTCGCAGTATCTCCACCGTAACCTATCACCAGGTTCGGTAGAAAAGCGGGAGAACGAGGACCCCCGAAAATCCTGCAATAGGCTAGATATGTGGAAGGCGCGCTTCTGTACGAGGAAGCCGGCTCCCAACGTTCATAGTGTGCAAAAATGACGCAATTGATGTGCCGTTTGTCGGTAAAACATCCATGGTCATATTTCAACTTCCAGCGGGTACCATGACGAGTCGTTGTGTTTTGGGCAAGAATCGATCAGACCGGAAGCTAACCACAAGGTCCCCTGTCAATACATTGATGCAGATAAGACAGTTGCAGGAAGACATACTATAATTCTCGGAGGCAAAGTGTTGCGTGGTCAACGCTTCAGCAGCTGGGTAGCTGACCTCGAGAACTCCCTCTCATAAGGTATCGACCCTCCGCCCCGGTTTGAAGTTGGGTAGATCTGTAATCTCTTGGGGCCTTGCACTAGCTTCAATTAGACAGTCTCCAGAAAACTGAAAGTCCTCGACAGACAGCAAGGATCGGAGCGAGTCTATCTGGCAGCTTTCAATGACAGTGGTCGATGTTGAGGATGTGTTTGGACATTCGGTCATTCGATGGGGATCTAGCGGTCGTGGTAGTGCCAGTGGCAAGCTTCGGTATGGAGAAGCTGATTCATCGTGCCCCTCGCAAGAAGCGTCATCGTCATGTTGAATCTTGCAGAACACGGGGGTCTGATGGAATTAACCCTGTGAGCGAATACGAAAACAGACGGCGTCAATCCGAATCAGACCTTGAAGAGAAACGGGGTCAAACGACTTGTGAGTGGTAAACGCAGTCAACGTACCATACCGGCTCCGAGAAAGGCTGCACGAAGGGCGGAAAGCGTCGCTGGTTGTTCGATGTTACGGGCGCAAAGTTCGCCAATGACGAGGGACAAATGCCACAAAGTCCTAAAAGGCGTCAATAACTACGATGCTATGTCGAATTAGCGCCTTCAATAAGAATATTAGTTCAAGTTGGCGGGGAGTCGGGGACGGGCTGAGGACTACAGACTACACACCTTCACAACATCCCCCATATCCTTCATTCTTCTTCCTGAATGACATTTTGAAAGCGTGGCGTCTTCAGAGTGATCATACACGCTGATTTTTGATCTTTTGCGGGGACTCCAGGTGCTAAGTCGTTGCTCATCTATTTCAACATAAAGGTCAAGTTGATTACTGAAATCAGAGAAACCAGATACATACCTCCTCACAAAACTCGATCCGGCTAGTCGTTGCTACGATTCTCGGCTCATGAACGGTGGTGGCGATGGTTCAAGACAAACGTTGAGCAACACTGATTTTTTTTGATCAATGCCAACCTTGCCCTCGACCGTCATCATCTTCGCAATACTTGCCAGCTTCCTGCACTGCGGCTACCAGGGAAGTGGGTCGTCCTGGGCCTCCGCTCTCCCTAGGTGAGTATTTACATTATTAATTGAAGGTATAAGTTATGTAACGCGGGGTCAGCCATGCAGATTCCAAGCCAATGTTACTTTGAAGTCGATTAGTACCCTCGTCGACGCCGACTCGACGGGTCGGTGATATCTCCTTCGAGTCCTCGTTGCGTCCGGAAGCTTCTCCACTGCACGCTGGTCTCAGTCCACACACGCCGAAACTACACTCAGCGCGGTGTCCGAGACGAATACCGGGTATTTTATGCTCTATGTCGTAGGTACGACCATACATTCATTATTTCTCCCGATTGAAACACTCATTATCTTCAGATATTCTCGTCTCTCCCCACGACTCGGAAGTCGGGAGCTTCAAGTCGCTTGTCAATGCAAGAAGGGGATCACGGTCTTTGAGTATCACTGTGTGTTTGCACAGAGATTGAGCCTAAATGGAGATGCAGGAATGACACTTAAAATCGATTGATTAGAGGTAGTATTTGTAATGAGCGATAATAGCGAATGAATAAATATGTAGATAAAGGCAAGCAAGTGGGCGAAAGCGCGAAGCGCTTTCCGATCTGGCAAAGAGTCTCCCGGAGGGTCCGAGGCGATCTGCGACGGGCGGGTGGGCCCGTCTTGCGGATGCACTCGGGCCATCCGAAAGACTATGTTGCCAGTCAAAATGCTAAAGTTTTGGGAGTGGAGGGTGGGTGAAAAATGAGGAAGGAGCTAATGAACTCCTTCTGTGTGGCGAACGAGGTGGTGGTAAGAAGAGAAAACGGCACGTGCCGCACCACTCGTTCGCTCAAAGACCCTATTCTAACGCTACACTCGTTCCTCGCTTCGCTAGCGAATCTCAATCTTTGAGTATCACTGTGTGTTTGCACAGAGATTGAGCCTAAATGGAGATGCAGGAATGACACTTAAAATCGATTGATTAGAGGTAGTATTTGTAATGAGCGATAATAGCGAATGAATAAATATGTAGATAAAGGCAAGCAAGTGGGCGAAAGCGCGAAGCGCTTTCCGATCTGGCAAAGAGTCTCCCGGAGGGTCCGAGGCGATCTGCGACACCCATGGCATCTGGAGTCTTCGACGCGGCGAGTGAGTCTCGGACCCAACCCATTAGGAGAAGCTCGGATGCTTACCTTGTTAGCGCACTGCTGGCATGGTCAAACGGACGAACGTGTCGTGTACGGCTGGCGCTGCTTGTATGTATGGGGCGAGAATTTGTGCATGTTTTCGTAGATACAGGGTGAAGGCGTCACTGGACCAACGACCCTTCACCTTCATGACATCGAAAGGCACGCCTCTGAGCAAATATTCGAGTGTAGAGCCAATTCTGATGCCATGCCCTTGCAGGGGCTCCAGGCCAGCTGCACGTGCGGCCTTCGCCAGTTCCGCTAGGAACTTGGACTTCGTGAGCGGCCGGTGGCTGTTCTTGTGGCGGTATGCGAAAAGGTGGCCTTCCTGGGGAGGGTTGTTGACCTCGAGATGATGGGCTAACGCCGCATTCGGGTCTATGGGCCCTGCCTGTTTTGCCCAGCATACGTCTTCCCCTTGTGGCGCTGACTTGGTGTGTGGCAGGTGTAAAACCGTGACTTGTTGCCCTTCTCTGTTCTGGTCGTAGCTGACACGGGCCTTGGAGACATGTATGCTGGGGTCAAAGATGTCGAGCTTTTGGACTGTGAATTCTCCAACGCGACCGGTTGCAAAGAAACAGGTCGTTAGGCAGGCGAAGACGGCAGCTCCGAGGGGGGTGTCCAAGGCTAGGTTGTTCCGGATGGCCAGCATGAAATCAATTGTATAGGGTCGCCGCTTCTTTCTCCTGGAGGAAGAGGGGGTTAACTTTTCAGCTGCTTTCAAAAGGGCCTCCAGTTCGGGTTTGTCAATCTTCCATGGAACACCATGTAGTAAATGCCATGCACGTACACCGTAGACATAGTTGCTGATTGCTGAGCCAGAGTATGCAGCAGCTAGAGTAGACACAAAGGACATGATTAGTACTTGGCTGGCTGGGGCCCTGTCTTTTTCAGGGATGTTCTTCTGGTCGCAAAAAACCATGAAGTTGAGGAGGCCAGAGGCATATGTTGCGTGTGTATCCAACTCCCATGCATAGGCTAGGACGTCTTCAATGCGCTTGATGTCTTCATCCGACATTTGAGCGGACCTCTGGGCACGAGGCACTAGTGGGCGCCATAGGCGTAGTCTTTGGTTGGCTGGGCAATGCGGTCGAAGGGGTGAAGGGAGAGGAGTAAGATTCTTGCGGTATGGTGCAGGTCGTGGACGCTTATCCGAGGCTGGGGCTGGGAGCTGAGCATTCCAGGCTCGACGTTCCTGGTTAATCGTATGAGGAACAGGAGAGGAATTCCTCCCCCCGGCGATCAAGCTCGGCGTTGATTGAGGCTCGTTCGTTTTCTGAAAGCTCGTGTTGGGGCTTGCGTTGGGCATTTGGTAGGAGGTGCTCACCAGAGCGTGCCATGGCGAGTTCAGAGTCGAAGTCGACGATGAGGTGGTGCAGTTCTGGGGGGATGGGAATATGGGGCAGGAGATGTGTAAGACGTGGGTATATTCCTCTGGATGGTTCATCAGCGGGATTATCTTTGCTCGGGACATATCTTGTGTGGATGGTGCACTGCCGGGTCTCCAGAATGGCGTGAACACGTCTAAAGACGATGTTGGTCTGCTTGTTTCGGCTACGTCCCTTCCACCATCCTTCGACGACTCCTTTGTTATCTCCATAAACCTTGAAGTGAGAACTTCTGTCGCCGGATGACAGTATGGCGAGGCTGAGGAGCTCGAATCCGACTGCCTCTGCCCAACCGATGTCTCGTCCGTCAGCTTTCCAGCCAGGGAGTAAACGCCAGGCGCGCCACCTCTTTCCAATCGTGATGCCGATGCCAAAACCTGAGCTAGCGTCAGAGAAGGC